GGCCCCCGCCGCAGCCGCTCCAGCCCTCACTGACTACCTCCAGCCTTGCTGCGACCAAGTCCCCTTCCCTCTAACCCAGAGGGTCCCCCCATAAGCAGCCCCAAAGCAAGTACAAGGCTACTCAAGCACACCGCCCGTACTACGCGCAGGGCCTCGCCTCTCGCCCAGCAGCTGTTAGGGCACAAGGCAGGAAGAAAAGAGAGGAGGAAAGAGCCTGCCGCTCAGCAGCCCTTCTCCTAAAGAATGCAATAAACCTTCCGCGCAGCTGGTGAGGAAACCAAGTCAGAGCCCGCCGCGCCGTTCACGCCAGCCCCTCACCTCTCCTCGCAGCCGTGGCACCTCACTTGCACACAAACCGGCCGGTTGAACATACTCTCCGCCGCCATCTTGCGCTTCGAGTTTGGCGCCGGGCTCCCGCGGAGGAGGAGCCTCAAGATGGAGCCGAGGAGGCGAGCGCAGGGGGTGCTGGGACGGAAATGGCGGCACCGGAGCCGGGCCGCGGCTCCCCGGTCCCAGGGCGATGTGCCTACTTCGTGGCGAGAAAGAAGCGCTTCTGCAAGATGATCCCGGCTCCTGGGAGGCGCTTTTGCGGAGAGCATGGGCAGCAGGAGGTACTAGGCCTTGCCGGGCGGAGCAGCAGGCCCCCTTCTCCGGCTAGGGCAGATGGGCTCCTGGGGTCAGGGGAGCCCGGGGTTCCCTGAGAGGGGTTGGGGCAGGCGGGAAGCCCCGGCGGCACCTCGGGGGGCCTGGGGTGGCAGGTCCGCCTGAGCAGGCCCCACAGCACGGGTAGGAGAGGCAGCGCCCACGCCTTCCTTTGAGCCCTGGATGTGCCAAGGCCAGCAGTAACGCTAACATTACATTATAGGTTTATTCTTTTAGGATCCATTTAGGTATTAAATTCTTGTCTCAGTTTCTCCATTCCGGTTAACCCACCTACCTCAGAATGGATGCTTTATGAAACTCAGATGTCCCTCAACAGCTTTTCTAAAACAGGAACACTGGATGCATGCTGAAGTGTTGTCTAAAACTTTTCTTTTATAACTAGGAAGAAAGTGACAGAAAAAGAATTCCGTGTCCTCTTGATCCAAAACAGTAAGTATATGTAAATGTTTTTCCTGTTCTTTGTCAGAGTTCACACGGTAAATGCTGTTACTTACTTTTCTTTCCATTTGGATTTTAGCACTGTATATGAAGACCAACTACAAAAACATTTAAAAAAATGTAATTCAAGAGAGAAGCCAAAGCCAGTAAGTGCAGTGTAAATTCAGCAGTACTTCCTCTCAGATTTAAGACCCTAAACATTAAAGCTCTGCAGAGAATTTATTGTGCTGACAGCAGCTGTGAACTGGAGGACAGCAGTCTCAGCAAGCACTACAGTAATGACAGTATGGAAGCTGAATAAGTACTTGCTGAAATGGAATTCACATTCCACTCTCCTCACCTTTTAGGTCCCATCTCACTGTAGTTCAGTACAACTTTTCAGTTCTCTTAGTTACAAATGAAAATGCTGAATTCATTTTTCTCAGAAACGTTCTCTAAGAACAGTCTCTCACAATGCCATTCATTTTAAAGGCTTGGTGAGAGATTGTCCTCGGAAAGCAAAACTAGCAGGGAGGCTCTAGGCATTTTCCTACCTCTGGCAGTCTGCTGCCCTAGCCAGCTGCCTGCTTCACTCAAGCTAGCAGTGAGTTATGGAAAATTAGGCTGACAGTTGCAGCCAGTGCTGAGGGAAGGAATAGGATGTGCGTCTCAACAGCTGTTTCAAGAAAACAGAAGATGGCTTCTTTACTGTCTGTCTTTCTGCTTTATCAGTATTGCACCTTTAGTATTACCTGGGAAACCTTAGAATGGTCTCTGGAATCAGTCTAGTAAGCATTGACAGCTTAACTCTTATGAACATGTTCAATCTTGTCAAAATGTGTCAGAACAGTCATTTCTGCTGGGGATTCAGGATCAGAGTATAGGAAAAAAAATTACTTGGAATATCTTCTTTTGCAGTGGATTCCTATTGCTGTGTACCTTATGATAAAAACACTGAAGAATTTAGCTTTTGGCTTCCTGGTAATTAACAGAATCAGATTTCTTTTCTTTTGATTTTTAAAGGTCTACTTTGTTCAAGATATTAATGCAGGTTTAAAAGATGTAGCAGAAATACCAGAAAAACAAGTGAGTACATTTATTTGTTCTAAAGCTCTGTCCCTACATAACGTGTTGCAGTTTATCATATGACTAAAGAACTAGCAAAAATAAAACACTCTTGTATTTATGGGTGGTGCTTTTTTTTCCTTAAAAAGGTACCTATCTCTTCTCTATCCAAAGAAGAGCTGGAGAACTTAATTATCAAGTTGAAAAAAGCAAGTAATGGTGAGCTTACTTAATACTGAAAATAAGATGTTTTAAATTGAATTGATTAAATATTTCATTGTTATTTTTGTTGTTAGATATTTGTGAAAATGTAAGACATTTGGCACTAAACACATCTGAAGTAATTACCATCAAGATGTAGGCAATCCTCCAATAGCTAAATTTTACTCAGAAGAATAAACTAGATTGAGAGAATGATAAAAGACTGATCTTTTGTTCATATAGCTAATTTCCCTTCCTTTTGTGTTTTTTATTTCCCATTCAAGTATCACTACAGATAACAATACAGCTCTGTTCTAAACATATGATGATGGATTTATGCTCCCAACAGACTATTTTGTTAGTGCTAGAAATTGAGCTCATGTCTGAGTATTGTTAACGTGTGTGTTACAAAACCCGAAACTCTTGAAACTGGAAACCTATACCTAAAAGTTTTGCATTTGCATGCAGGCCTGGAACTTCGCCTTGAGGAACAAATACTGTCCCACCAGGCTTTACAAGAAGCCTTAAATGACCCAAAGAATGGGGAATCCGCTTTCAAACACTTGAAACAACAGGTATGGTCACTGCTCTACTAATAGCTATAGATATTTTTAAACATGTGGAATTCTGCTACTGTAAATTCGAGGGACTGTGTGTGCATAATGCTAGTCACTTCATATAGAGGAGATCTGATATGCTCTATAACTATGGTCTTCAAATAATAGCACACATACAACCTTTGAATGGCCGCTTTGTTAAGTATTAGTAACAAAAGTTTATTAGGATACTGAAATAGATTACAAATTGTGTGGTGTTCTTCTGAATTTTTACTTATTTTATATTAACTCATAATAAATCTGAGCTACAAAAGGTAAAATGTTGTATTTGCTAAGAAGTAAAAGGAATTTTTTACTTTTTCTGTTAAGAGGTGGTCCTAGATTTCCTAGTTGGGTAACAGGGGCATAAAAAGAATTGGAGAGCCTGAGTTTACCTTCTGCCTTTTTAATGTATATTGAACAGCAGGAATATTAAGAGAGATGGATTGCATACTGTAGCAAAATAGAAAGCTTTGGGAAGAAAATTTCAAAAGTGAGAAATGTCTGCTTTCTGTATTTTCTTCCCACGCTCTACTTTTATTTCCTATGTATTATAAAACGTGTAACTGCAGCAGAGAGAGAGGGCTCTGCAGGCACTCGTGCTTTACAGAAAATCCAGTACAGTACCCATATTTTGGATAGCTACTTCGAGAATCAGCAGAGAACAGTATTATAATGTGTACCTGATCCCAAAAATCCATTCCAAAAACTTCTGGGTGGAGTTCTGTGAGCAGTGGAAGAAGGGCAGGGTGATGCTGACTAGCCAGAATTTATAATCCCTTTCCGCTGTAACACACAAGATCTTTTCCCTAATCCCTCATGGAAGAGAAGACTTGAAAGAGTCTTCTGCAGTTTGGTGAAGTAATCATTTTTCTATCAGGCATTACAATACACAGTGTATATATTTGCTTGGTTTGTAAATAATCTTTTGATGTTTGTAGGCTTCTATTTTAGGTAACATGGAAAAATTACATTTACTTGGTCCAGGAAGATGTTTTGTTGAGTTTGGAGCTGGGCGAGGAAAGCTGTCCCATTGGGTTGATGTTGCCTTACAGAATGTTGACAATGTTCAGTTTTTGCTTGTGGAAAGGGCAACTACAAGATTCAAGGTAAGAGAGGATATTGTCATATTAGCAGAGTATAATTTTTAAACTGTTGTCATTGAAGCTGTTAGTATTTGCTTTTTATCTTCAAAAACAACATAAAGCCTTTGAAATGTTAAAAGTTTTGGAAGTGTGATTGCCTACATTCCATACTTTGCCGATAGCAAATTTATTAGAAAAAAATCCTGGTGTCTAACGTTGGAAACGTGCAGATGTTGACTTGACAGGTAAAAAGTCCGGCATTAATACCTGGAGCAAAATTATAATTATTAGTGGCCAGCCCTACTTAATGATCTTGTTCTGTTTACACAGGTGGATGGAAAACATAAAAGGAGAAATTCTATATTTGAAAGGCTTCAAGTTGATATTCAACACTTATGTTTAAGTAAGTTCCTTCTTGGCTTGTGTAATTCTGAAAGAGAGGCTTAATTTTAGATTTTGAATACTGGAGTTCAAGTCAATTTGTATGTAGCACGCTTAAATGTATTTGGTTTTGAAGATTATTCTCAGTGGTTGCTTGGACACGTTAATGCTGTGTGTATATACATATATATACAGACACATATATATTAAATGGGGATTTAAAATTTTCTGCTTTTTATACACTTAAAGGACATCATTATAGGTGAGAAATACCAAAACAAAAACATTTTGAAGGTTTTTTAGAACTTGCAGGATTAAAAACCTTTGCATTGTTTGTTTTAGGTGTGTGGATGAAGCAAGTCATGCATATCATTGATATGCTATGCATATCAATGTTTGCATATCAATGCAAACTACATGCTATGCATATATAGAATTTGTGGGAACACCTGTGATTAGGAGATGCATTAATGTCACATTTACATTTCGTAGGCAGTATAGAAAGGCTGAAATGCTTAAATAGATAAATGTAACTATCTTAGCATAAATGCAAAATCCTGTATTTCTAATACTTCATTTTAATAAAAGGCAAAGTATTTATATTACTGTTTAGCTGGAGCTAATCTCTGGGCTGCAGATAATTCTGTTAAGGAAAATCAGTCCAGTGTTCTCTGGTAACCATTTTACTGCTCTACAGTAGTGTTGCTGCTCAGAAACAAAATCGTATTGCTTCATAACAGCATTAAAATACATTCTTTGCCTTTGGACAAGGTTGAGTTGTTTAAGAAAAAAACCCTTTCCTTTTAATAGCTTATAACTGTATGTACAGATCACTGTATTTTTAGTAGTGGTAAACATTTATTTCTTTTTTTAAAGTGTGCTGAAACTATATTATCCAGAAAAAATACTGCCCCAACTAGAATAATAGAGGTTCTGGGGTTGTTGTGGATTGGGGGTGTTTGTTTATTTTCGTGGGTTTTTTTCCCCCCAGATAAGGTACCTATTTTGGAGAAGAAAAAACTACCAGTGGTAGGAATTGGGAAGCATTTGTGTGGTGCTGCGACAGGTATGAATTACATGTGTTAAATGCAGAAAGTTAGGATGCTAAATCTTATAGTCTGAATGGACTGATCTTCCAAACTGTCCTTTTAAGCTTTTCTTGCCCTCTAACCCTTTGTTGGTGAATGTAGCAATTATATTCTAAATATCTGTTGACTTCAGTGGAATAGTAAATGGATAATAGATACAAGGCTACTTTAGACAGAAGTAGAACCTTTCTTGTTTTCTATAGAGCAGAACAAAGAATAGCGTATGGAGGCCTGGGTCATGTATGTGTAAACTGTTGAAAATACCCTTTGTTTCTGGGGTTTTTTTTAACACCATCGCCTCTACGCTGAAATATTATTCTTTCTAAATTTGTATTGGCTGTCTGAATATGTATCCCAAGCAAACAAATGTGTTTCTCTCCTGATAATTTTCAACTACTACACTTTTTCTAATGTTATGCATCTACTAAGTAGAGAAAGACATCTCAAATACGACACCTACATAGGTACTGTTACAAAGATGAGACAGTTAAGCATTTAAGAAGTACATGTACATATTAAATTGATTGTGTCCTAGATATCAAACTTTTAGAGGAAATACTTGCATGTTTTACAGAGAGGAGATCCTCCTACAATATGCCAGTTTGTTAACCAAAGTATTTCACATTCACTTGAGTAGAACAAATATTCAAGAGGATAAGCCCTTAGTAGCTCCAGAGGTCACATAACATTCATTTAGCATTTAGGGTTTTCATGTTTTCAAAGCATGCTTGTAATTTTTAGTTATTCTTAAAATTGCTTTTTGGCTTAGTTTGTGATGTACACTTTTATTATTATTGGTGGGAAGTACATTCCCAACCATGATACAGCCTGTATAAATAATGGCATGGTGATCACCACTATTTTGGGGGGGGGGGAATATCTGTTTTTTCCCAGATCTTGCTTTGAGATGCTTGGTTGAAAGTTATACAACTTGCAGTGATGGAGAAAATGAAGAGCCTGCACCAAAACGCTCTAGGAATGATAAGACAGAGGTGGCTTCTAACGATTCTGCTGATAATGAAAGCAACAAAGACGACTGTAAGCCTGTAGCTGGAATTGTTATTGCACTGTGCTGCCATCACAAGTGTGACTGGACACATTATGTAGGCAGAGAGTTCTTTAAATCAGTAGGACTTGGACCAGTAGAATTTCATTATTTTCAGAGAATGAGTAGCTGGGCTACTTGTGGCATGCGAGAAACTACAACCAAAGCCTCTACAAGTGAAGAAAGTGAAGATCAAACTAACGACACAGAAGAACATGAGCAAATATTCAGCAAGACAGAGAGTGGTTCTGATACTTTACAAGGGTATGTAATTTTTTTTCTAGCAAATGGAGTCCTGCAGAAAAGCAAAATTATGTATAGTGGTATATGAAATTGTTTTGGGTCCTCAAAATGACTCATTTATCGAACATTTTAATTACTAAATTTATAGAAATATTCTACTTTAAAAATACAATTTTCATGGACATACGTTTCAAAATATTTAAACAGTCATGCTTGCCTGAATTGAAATGAACTTACAGTGATTTCAGTAGTTTTTCTAAGCTTGAACTACTAATGTTAATTAACAAAACTGTCCTTCTGACGTATGTTGTTTGTTCTTTTCCTCCTTTTTATGAAATTAGGATACTTACTTTTGAAGAACGAAAGGAGATAGGTTGCCTCTGTAAACTGCTGATTGATCATGGACGGATTGAATATTTACAACAACGAGGATACAAGGCTGCACTACAGTATTATACAGAGTCTGCTGTGTCCTTGGAGAATGTCCTCTTGACAGCTGTCCCAAGTCCATCTTTGATACCAGAGCCAACTACATGACAGGAGATAGATTTGGAATTGGTAGGAAAAAACCCTATAAAACTTATCTGGATTTTTTAAAAAGCTAATTCCTTGCTTACAAAAAAACTGTTTTAGTCTTTCCTGTACCCAGGAAAAGGTCTCCTATTTCCCAGTTTCACTGGGAATTACAAATATGCAAGCCAGTTCTCATCAGTGGAAAAATAAAATCCCTAAGAGTATTTGAAACCTCTTGTACGCCTCTTTGTTAGGAAGAAGTATACTTGATATTTTCTTCCATTCACAGTTACATTCTTTATTCATTAGCATTTATGATAGGAGAAGGACCAGAAGTACAACTTTCCAGATTTCCTGAAAGACAATGGGTTAAAATAAGAAAAATTAACATACTTTATTTTCACTTTGAAGTTCAGGATAGCTTTGTATTTCCTCTTAATTATTTAAGTAGGCCTAGGTACTTTCATCAGCCCATGCTGCTAGGGGAATCTGTTAAGGAAGAAAACTTCCTTGTAAACTGTCATCTTGATATATTTTTGCTAATTTGATTATCCATTCATGAAATACCGATAAGAAAAAAGCTGGCGTAGCATTCTAAATCAAAAGCATTTCAGTCATTCATTTTTTAAGCCTTCTTGATACATAGAATTAAAATCAGAGAGAACATTTTATACCTGCAATGCATGAAGTTCTCTCTGCAAGTAACAGCTGCCACCTGCGTATCTGTTCAAAAGTGCTTATTTTGGTCTCTTACTGCAACCTTTAAGCTGTTACCTTTGAGACCACTAACAGCATTTTTTTGTCAGTGACTTAGAAGTGGGATGAAATTGTGGGGGTGTTTTGTTTAGGTGACTGGATTTTGTGTCATGGAAAGCAAGTTGCGAGAAACATCTGTTTATCAGGTGTTGATAATTCATTGCTAAAAAATGGTTTATGTTGGGAACATAGGCATCTCTCCCTTACATCCTTCTTTGGTAGTCCCCATCTGTACAACATCCAAAAATAGGGAAGGTTGAGCTTCATGAGACAAACAGTGCTGGAAGACCTACACTATGTAAACTCTAATTAAATTGCAAATACAAGAGACAGTCATCAACTTCCAGTTATCCGGGCTGTAGGTAACTCAGGCATGTTTATTCCAGTGTTCCATGGTTCCAGTATGTTCCTACTAGAATATATGCTGTTCATGTGAAGACCTGATACTCCTGATAAAAGTGCCCCTGCTTACAGATTTTTGGAAAATGTTAATCATTTATTAAGAAGATTATTCATGTTTCATTTGTATGCGTATCCTAGCTTTCTTTTATCCAGTTTATCCTTCCCTTCCTCACTGTATTCCAGAGGGATTAGAATTAATAAAAAGCCATACCTGTTTTCTTGAGTGACTCCTGGATATACATGTGCATGAATTCAATGCCGAACATTTCCTGTTGCTCCTCCTCTTCTGTGTTCTCACATGGAGGGAGTGTTACCTTCAACTCCAGTGGGTTGTCTCTGAAGTTGACAAATCTGACAGTTCACCAGAAAAGGTTACTCTTGCAATAGGTTTTGTCCAGAGAGAACAACTCTTTTGAAACTGAATTAAGATTCCTCAAACAGTATTTCAAGCAAAATAAAACAAGTCTTTTCTTATACTAAACCCACCACTATATTAGTAGAACTAAGCTAAGGAGATGCCTTATATTAACTGTAGCTGATTGTGGTGGGAGAAAACATTGCAGTCCTCGTCGTTTTATCTTCAGGTTTTCACCTCATTGTCAGCCTTACTGAGCTTCCACAAACAGATGAGTGGATGAGAACAAGAGTGCAAATGCCTGCATCCTCCCAACTTTGCAAGGCAACAGCCAGCCCTGTCTCCCTCTGTTCTTGGTCCATGCTTGTATGTATTTGTTTAAAGAGGTGCTGCTGCTTCCAAAACATCTGAAAACAGGAATTGTCTTACTGGGTTAGACGTGATTTATTTAGACTAGCATTCTTTCTCCAAAATGGCCAGCATCCAGTAATTCAAATGAAAATGCAAACAACAGGAAAGTTTCTGTCACAGTATACAAACTAATATTTCCAATTCTACCAATTAAAAATTCACATTCATTCTCTTTTATTTTTCAATCAAGTACTGGAGAGTTTCATCTATAGCTTTATATCTAATCCTTTTTGCTTAATTCTGAATGCTTGACTTTTCAGTGCCAAAGTTCTACTTTTTGTCATTTCTATGCTTGTTACATATTTTTCCTCCTAGCTCTTGGCTTTAGAGAGTGATATAAAAGGCCAGTTCGAATTGGGCATTTCAGAATAAGAAACTGTATTATAGTCTCCTTTCACATTTGGGACTGTAACTGTCATAGCTTACTTCTTTAAATGAGTTGTGCTACACAGAGCTTTCTTGGCCAGATCCTCAGCGGTTGTGAATCTGTGTAATTATGCTGATTTATATGGCATTATGTCCATCCATACAACTGTGGACGTGCCTTTTCCACTTCCTTAGCATCACTCTCTGATACACAACTCAAGGGAGGCTTTAAAACTTATCTTTTAGTATTTTTATTTATATTTCTGTTGCTTTTTTCTTACCTCTGATTTGTCATGTCCTTCATACAAGCTGGGATATCCTTAAGTTTGTTGTTGCTAAGAACAAGAGTACTAAGATTTTTCATATTGCTAATGGTTTCTGGCAAAGAGTTTATCTCATTCCTTTGGAGCCATAAAGCGTGGAGATTTTCCATTCTGTAAAATAGGTATTTGTGCAATCAATCAAGATTTAGAAAATTAATCTTATCCATCATTAATATAAAGTTATTGATTCATTTTTACAGCCACATAAAGGACTCGCATAAAGAATACAACAATTCTCAAAGAAAAGCCCATATTCAAGATAATCACCTAACCTCTAGTCAAAAATGCCATTGGCAAGAAATATTTAACTTGATAGTTGATACTGAATATATTGTTTATTGAATGGATTATTCCAGCTCATCCAAAATATCACATTAGGGCTGATAAATCTTAAGTTTGCAGTGAGGCTAGCATTAAAATAATCTTTTGAAGTAGGATTAATAATTAGAATTTCAATGCAATGGAATTGAGACTAAGATGTGAGCTTTGAGATTTATTTACCTGTCAATTGCATCAGGAAGCTCCTGGAGTTTATTTCCCCCCATATCTAACCATTCTAGATTTGGCATGTTGAGAAGAGCTGAAGGGATGGTAGTAAACTGATTCATGCACAAATCTATGTGTGAAAGCTTCTTTAAATCACTGAGCTGAAAATAGAGATTTAATGCAAGTTTGTATAGCTGTTTCATTACAGCAGTGCTGTAATAATGTTGACTGAAAAAAAGAAACAATTGAAAAACATTACAACACATTTTGGAGTTAGTAAACACAGAATGGTTTCTGAGTTCACATTAGCTGATATTACCTAACAATTACAGTTCTCACCTGGAAGGTAGGTTGGTTTGAAACTGATCAGGCAGAAGAACTTTATCTTGCACCTGGTGGTGAGTGCCCTAACTGCTGAGAAGCTGAATGCCATGACTACCATGCAGATACACCCCAAGCCTTGAGAAGAAAAGGAATTTTAAAGACACCATTGTCCTCAGTATTTCATACTCAGTGGTGTTTCTCCATGCAATACGCCATTTTTCATTCATCAACTGGTTTGATTTTTATGGCTCAAATCGCATGGACTGTATTTTAGAGCGAACCTAGACACTTTCCATGTTGTGAAGTCTACTACTATGGCAAGACATTCTAAAAATGAAACATCGCATCATTCAGTATTGCAGCACCTAAGTCCTTTGGCGAATCATGCCTCCAGGTGCTTTTACAATGTTCAAGTGATGCAAAGATGGTTTTTTGCAAATCTGGTCCAACTGTCTAAACACTGAATGCCACTCAAGTACATATAACCGAAGCTTCACGGTGTTCACATCACCATAGTCTCAATAGGACAGAAGTATGTATTTGCTATGAGCTGTTAATTTAAAAGCTATCACTCGACATTACACCATGTAACCTGTATCCACATAGATTTTTTAAATTCTGGATTCTGATTAATAGTGTATATTTTCATTTGAAGATTTGTTGTTAGGTATTACTGTTTGGACTCACTCAATTTTGCAAAGCACTGATTGCTGCCAACTATTGCTGCTACTGTTTTTTTAAATAAATTAAAGCAAGTAAATACAGTTACATACTTGTCATCTCTATCTAAGAGACTAATACTTAAAGAGATTCAGGTGTCTCCCACATTTAGGTCAGTCCAGCTTAAAGCTCAATAGTAGGTAAGCAGTTGTTTTTATTCTCTCTTAATTGCTTTCAACATCTCAGAACAACATTCTTTCAACTCTGTGCATAGGCAGTTGTATAACTCACACAAACCCTTTTCATAGCTAGCAGCTCTGGTAAAGATGCTTACAGTTGTGTCCTGGCATATGGTATGAATTTGTATTCTCAACCATAAAAGGGAACTTCTCTGTGCTAAGGTGTCAGATCCTCAGTGGGGTAAATCAGTGAAGACCTTCAGCCTAAACAAATTAACATCAAGTATATCACTGTCCTGTAAGCACCACCAAGTCATTTATCTGGACAAAATAAAGATTGGCTCCTTCAACTGCTCGGGTATATGTACGTCCTTCTCATGTGGCTTCAGTTTGGCTAGTCATATAAATATCGTTCACATATGTGCTTCTGTGGAGTAGTTGTGAAATCAGAATATCAAAGCAAATCTGAAAACGTGGAGTGCAACTTTTAATGATAATTGGTTTTGGATAAATTCAAAATATGCATTAAACAAAACTAAACAAAACAAAACAAAGCAGTCTGTCAAAACCTGAGGAGGAAGATCACAGATACTCCTGTTGACAGCCAGTTCCAATCTTTCCAGACTGACACAGTTACTTATTTCCTTAGGAACAGACTTTATTCTGTTGTAACTGAGAAGCAGCTCTTGGAGGCTAGTCAGCTGGCCTGCGGAGAGCACAAATGAGAAATGATAAATGTTCACGTTCATTCTATTTGAAGTACAATATTACTTGTTTTGTGTTATCCTTATACTGTTATACAAGTGCTCTGCATTCTCAAAAAAAAAGATTCACTGAAATTCAAATAATAGGACTTCAGGACTCTTTAGTACAGAACTGCACTCTAATGAGAAATGCACGCTAATGAGTGCTACAAAAAAACCCCCAAAACAACTTAGGAACATAGGCTACTCATGCCTACTCATGGACTCGGAACATGAAGCCTATTTTTCAGTATCACTTTTCTAGCTGCATTCTGATGTCTAGTATCTGCTGTGCTTACAACCTTTTTTCTCATGGGGAGCTTTCATAAAGATGTCTCCTTCATCTGGCCGTTTTTTTTTTTAAGTTATAGGGAATCCGTGGTTTTAAGATCTCTATCTCACTGTTAGATTTAAATAATCTGTTTTCTAACTACCCAATAGGATTGTTAGACAGGCAAAGTGCATAAAAATGGCATGTTTATGCACTTTGCACAAGATTAATTTTGTTAGAAAAGCAGCTTAAAATAAAAGAAAGCACAGCTCACCAATTTCTTTAGGTACACTTTCAATTGAGTTCCGGGATAGATCCAGAACAACAAGATTGTGAAATCTTCCAATGAACTGAGGAATTTTCTGCAAACTAGTTCTGTGAAGCTGCCATTCCTGGAGATGGACTAGTTTCAGTAAGCACGAAGGTAGTGTCTAAGGTAAGAAATACGAACCAGAAGAAATTCAGTTTAGTATACAACAAGAATACAGGCTTAGGTAGAAGTTTTATTGGAAACAGTAACAGTCTTGTGATTAAAAAAGAAAAAAAAGAAGGGGGAAAAAAGAAATCTTTCCTTCTTCTCAAGCTATACTGTAACAACATCCCAAAATGAACACCATCAATGCGGGTCATTCTGACCACAGATTTAACCTGCCCACTTTTTGCTCCCAGGATTTAGTTATCTGCACTACTGCCATTGCTTGAAAAGCCTCAGGCTTGCTTTTGTTTGTTTCTTTTTTTTTAAACAAAGCCAATATAGCTGAAGATGAAACTGCTCTAAATAGCTTTCTGCATTTAAATGGTGATCTAAATTGTATTTCCTATTCTGTTACGAAAAACAGTGAGCATCTGAAAGCAGAAGAGCTAAGCGATAGAAAAACTACAATGTCTGTATGCTATGAGTTCTGAACAAGGAACACTGGCTTATGGACCACCAGGGTGTTGCCAGGTGTTGCTGTCACTCTCTGGCCTCAACATGATCTTAATTCTCCTCACTTCATAGAACTGGCATCTGCATTTCTGTGTAGCTCTGAACAGACTATTAGCTTCCACTCTGTTGTTGATTCTACAGTTAGCCACTTCCCCCCGTGCATTAGAAACAAGAATAACAGTGTTCTGGGAATCTACTGGCTCATTTTCACTCTTAGAGAAAGTAAACAACAGTAAGAAATATTTTCATGCACCTAAACGCAGAGAGTTTTCACCTTGATCTGTTTCAGTAGTTCTGGTGTGTTAATGTTAAATGAGGATTTACATAATTAAACTCATAATTTGCAGTGTAAATAATTTCTAATGCAGAAAAGCCTTTTGGGCTATATTTTTGCAGAGTAATGCTTAATATTCAGAACTAAAAATATCAGCTTGCTTTTACACTCTCACAACAGTGTGTCTCAATTCATTGTTAGCAAAGCACACAGTGAGCACTTCATAGATTAAAAATAGTACAACTCTGAGTGTAAAGTTGTAAATAGTAGTTTTCTAATGCATCAGTCATCCAACCCAAGCAATATTCATTCCTATCAACGCTACCTTCCATTCTTCTTCCTCTATCCTCAAAATTGCTCTTCCATCTTTGTTAATAACTTTTTCTTTGAGCTTTGCTAAAGCAGCTCTCTCCTCCCAGACAAGTAGTAGCCTACAAGGGAAAGAAGATTTGTCAGTGGTGCAACAATGAATACAGGCAATAATTACTATCCCTTCTATTTTCTGGAACAGAGAGACATCCATAGCGTTTTTGGATGTCAAACAACATTTATTACATCTGGATGCTAAATCTACGATCAATTTGACAGAAGACAAGAACATAAAGTAATGTTTGGCTGAGGTAATTTATAGGAATTCTATTTTACAGTTCTTCAAATTTACAGTCAGAAGGAAGACATAACTTCATTCACTTTCATCACGTTGCAGCAGCAGGGCAACAGATTATAAAGTCATGTGAAATTAAGTTCCAAAGCCATAAATTTTGAAGCAGTCTAAAAAGAAAGCCTTCAGTTCCACCAAATGTAAGCGCGATCAAAACAGGTCAATCAGATAGGGATTCTTTTAGCTTGATTTCCAAAGAGGACTTAAACAAGAATTACGAAAATTAGGCTAAATCTCTTTCTTTCTGCTTGTATTTTCCATTTGTAACTTTTGATTTTGTTATTCCATTTCAAACACATCTGACGAATTAGGAAGGGTTCCAAAAACAGAATGCTAAATTTCTTCACATTTCATGAAATTGCTGGCCAGACAGAAGACCAAGCAACCCTGTTAATGCCTCCATTGAGAAGAAAGCATAGCAAATTAAATCTCCACTGGTTAGAATATCCACACAGGAGAGGATTTTAATATCCAAATTTAGGGGATTTAGTATACACGCTAATACTTTTATCACAGAACACAATTCTTGGTTTGACCTGACCATATTGCTAGATTCTAAGCAGTGGGAATTCTCCTGGAGTAACAACTAAAGAACTAGACTCTGGATGAGTTTGAAATGACCAATTATAGTTTTCTGAAATGTAACATATAGTCTAGCTTTTCACGTACTTACAGATCTACAATTTACCTACCTTCCTGCAGACCTCTCTCTGAATTCCTTTTCTTTCTGTAATTCTTCATTTATCTTGTGTATTCTCACTTCCCAAAGTGTCTTCACAGCAGTGAATGTTCCGACACAAACTGCAGTTTCAGTCATGATCTTTACATGTTCAGATTCAGTCTGCACAAGAATCTGACTGTGAATTTCAGGCTCAATGCATCAGCACATGTATGAGCTCCCAGATGGGGACAGTGTTGTGAAAACTAAAATACTGCAATACCCACTTGATTATATTACTAAATTTAGTTAATGTATAGAACTGACAGAATTTTACCAACTGCTTTCTCTTTATAAAAATAGATAATTGCACCTAGTTAAATTTTCTTATAATAAGAAGTGGTATCCTTGCAATCTCTCTGCATTCTTTGTCAGTGAACAACTGCTTCTCTCAGTTCCTTCCAATGGTAGGCTGAGAACTGACCACAATTATTAAGTGCAGATATGAGCATTCATTCCCCTCCCAGGAAGAAATGAAGCTGTCACCTGCCATTTAAGGCAGTTAAATCCTGGTAGCTGCATCCTGGCAGCTACCTGGTATAAATACTTGTAACTAAAGGAGTTTTGCACTTTATAGCAACTGAACTGTTGCTGGAAATAAATTTGTATACTTTATTTGCATTCATTTTCTTCATAATTTAATTCATTGTATTTTATAGTTAGTCATGCGTTACCTTTAAGAAAAGGCTTTTTAAATTCTTCAGATCTCTCTTTGAATCTTCTTGTAGCCCTGCTGAGTGTCACGATCCACATTAAAAAAAAAAATTCAGCCCAAAGTTTTGAAGTCATCTATTCCTTAGTGAGATAATTAATACACGTTTTCCTGAAGAGCAGCAAAATAGGATACTTGGTCATCCTAATCAGTGCGCCCCTCTAAAAAGCATTCTTATTGCCATTATTGTAGTCATCTGGGGAAGGGTTTTTTTGGAAATAACTGGAGCCAAGATACTGATATTCAGATAAGCTCGAAGGGCTGAATGTCATGCCAACAGCAGTGTACTCTGAACACTGATGATTTGAATGCTCCCTTTCAAACTGTTTACTAATACTTGCAGGGACAAGTAAGAAAAACACCTTACATATGCATTCAAACTAAAAAAGTGAGAATAACTTTCTTCCCAACAAGCAGGTAGATAACAAAAGTGGAATTTCAGGTCTTTGCATACATATATTTCCCTACAATAATTGCTGCAGGTCTGTCTTTTACAGCAATCTTTTCTATCATATTTATTCCACTATAATTTTGTGTGCCATGGATACGCCACAATTGCTTAGTGAACGTTTCTGTGTTCAAACTGTCATTCTATTTTATGTTTACCGTGTCTTTTGCTAACACAGTAATTTGTAAAGCCTGATTATACTGAAATCACTTAATTAAAAATGCACAGGCAAGCAAATAATAAGAAATATAACTTGTCAGGATTGCTTCCTTTTGTAAAGACAGCATAAAAACAAATTATAATGCTTGACTAAAGAAGAATCTGGTCCAATACTTTAATATTAAGGATTCTTAACTGTTCTCTGTTTAAGGAAAAATGGCAGGATTTGATAGGTGACGCAAATGGCAACTACAGTGTGGCACAACGCAGTCTGGCATTTGGGTTCCTAAAAAGCAATTGACTTTTTTCCTGTAAAGATAGGATTGTATCCCCTTTCCCTCCCCCACATAAATGTGATCACATTTCTAGTTTGAAGGATTAACTTCTCTTTCAGTGGTCCTCATAGTAACTACCTTTCCCATTCCTCATCCCAATATGCAACAGTAATGACTAAGACATTGTACTAGGTTTTTTGCTCTGATTAGTGGTTACAATTTAAATTGCCGTATTTTTCAGGATTAAACTTCTACTGAGATTAAGTGATTTACCTGATCTATCATTTCTTGTTGTTTAGAGACTTTTTTTGAACTATAAGCTTTTTTTAGGTAGAAAACTAGAAATCTTTTTATATAAATTGTGCAGAAAAGAGACATTGCGGTGCAGATCTCTGAAGAGGTATTTGTTAATCCTTGTACTACTAAAACCAGTATGGGACTATACAGTCAAAACAATACTTATTTTTAGTAAACCTTACATTGGGCAACTCTCTTTTGCTGTGGAAAGCATATTATTCAATAAACATTGCTTTAGAACCATGAAATATGAAAGAGGGCCCAAGTATATGACTTTGTTTTCAAGGAGATTTAATTATATAACAACAGGACTACCATCAAAAGCTTCTTGTTCTTAGATCTTCTTATTTGTCAGGAAAATAAAACCCATAATAATCATGCCATCACGGCCAACAATTCAGAAGTGAATTCCCAAGTATGGCTGTAAAACAACGGCAAATTTACTCCCAAGTAATCAGATCTCCCAACAACTTCACCTCCAAGCATCTGAAAGAGTTTAACAACTACTTACCTCAATTATTTGGTGTTTCTAAGGATTTTCTGTGGCTCATTGCTTTCTGGGCAAGAGCAGAGATAAATTACAAATCTTGTCTGTACTACCAAAACCATTTAGAACTCTCACTCAGACTCCAGCGCAGCGTCAGTCTAGTTCTAATTTTAACCTATGCTGAGAATAGAAGGTATCACATGAGGCACTTCTGCAAAACCCCCAAGCATTTACCACTCTTAATGTCTTCCCAGTTTGCTGAATGTGACTGGACTCCCATAAACTCCTGGACTCCCATTAACAAAAGTTACAAATTGTGAACAAAGAGAACAAAGGAGTACTTGTTATGCTCCACGATGAAAAATAAGCTAGTTTTGAATTCAAAATGACAATTACTTGCTTTACTCTAGTAATGTTTCTCTGCAAGACAACTGAGCTTCAAAGTGCTATTAAACAGCAACATTGACTAATTAGACTAGAAAAAGTATTACATCACTATGTATTTTACTCATTACTTTTGCTCATGCTGAAGAACTCTCTTGCTGAAGAATTTTAGTGCAAATTATCCAAGTCCAGACAGAAAAGTAATCTTTATCGGGATGTGCAGAGGGGTTATTACTCACCCCTTTTCATGCTTCCAATCATGAAATATTTTTAACATTCTATTTCTTCAAAGAGCCCTTGGAGAAGATAAAAGGAGAACAACTCTGTCAGAAGCTTTTTCTTCAACCAAATGGAAAGAGAGAGACAGCAATAATCACAGGTCACTATTTGAGGCAGAAGCCATAAAACTGGAAAATTCTAACCAATTCTTGCACTGGAGTATAAAACGTGAAGATGAAATTTTAAAAATATCATTCATTTGGTTATAACCCTCTCTCAGTAGAAATAATTTTTCCTCACTATTAGCCTTAGATTCTAGCATTACCACATAGAACTTTATAACCAAAAAAACCCTCTCCAGTCCGTGACCAGCTAGCTACCTAAACACCAATACCTATTTAAAAAGACACTAACTGCTTTAGCTTTCCATCTTTTTTTTTTTTTTTTGAAGTTATGCAAAAGCAAAAATGATCCAACACGTTCTTTGGTATAGGTATTTCTTCTTTCAGTTTTGGTGTAGATTCAATCCCCACAGTGTTTTTTAATCAATGTTTTTTCTTGATCTAAAAAAGTCATTAACTAAAAACCTAACTACTTAATTTCCTCCTCCTTAAAAAAGACAGATAACTAGAGCTAGGAAAAAAAAAATACTCCCTTTCATTGGAGTTTTGAGAGACAAAGAAATTTCAGGCTCCTTATGTGAGCAAAATTATTCTGTCTCAAATATTTCAAAATCACTTTAGTGCTTTCTATCATACACTTATATTTTCTCAATTTATTTTCTCCATGGTCATCAGATTAAAAAATATACTATTTAGACTAAGCCCTTACCACAACAATATACTCGTAGGAAAGTAACCATTAGGCTGTGTTCTTTTGGTAGACTTGAGTGCAGTAGGTTCTTAAAGATAAAAAGAAATAGAAGTTTGAGTCACCTGTACAGGATTGCCTGCATGAAATTCACAGATAGAAACAATATTACTACAATTCTTTGTGGCTTTAATTTTTTTTTTATTAGGAATAAATAAGTCTGATAAAAATGAAATAGGTGATAAGCATGATATGTTAGTCAAACTTTGCAAGAAATGACCTATATATAAAAGACCCTTATACCACAATAGTAATATAAATAGCACCTTACATGTATGCTCCCATGTTCCCTCCCCTACATGACCAGCTTTCCTCTTGCTCAGTCTCAGCATCAAGGATAGCAGAGATTCTGCCTCTCGTAGCTTACGTCTTGTATCTTCACAGCTAAATGCAATAGACAACTTTGGTCTACAATTTTGGAGAATACTCCTGTAGAGGCAGTTTTTGATCTATCTAAAGAAAGGAGAAAATGGCCATTTTGTGCCTCACAAATTAATGTTTAAGGCCATGTAACTGTCTTTTCTTGTGTCTGTTTGCAACTTATGTTTCTAGAAGGTATTTATATCCAACAGTTTTCTTCATATCTCCTGTTAAATAACCAGTGCAATCCTCATCATCTGTTTAGTTTACCTTAAAGCCACATAACTGTTGTCTGTTCTGAAGGCATTAACTTGAACCCATTCATTATGTGCCTCGTATATGAGTTTAAAAAGTCCTTATCTCACATAGTATTTTTTTAATGTTAATTCTTTGTTCCATCTGATTAATCTGTCAAATTCTAGTACCTGAACATCAATAATACAAGGTGATGCAAGCTTTTAGAACAAGTTCTGCTTACCGTCAGGCTTACCTAATGACAGAATAACAAATGAGATCTTCCTTTTTTTCTTTCTTTTTTCTTTTTTTTTATTTTTTAACAGACAGATGCTTTCTATAAGAAACAAAAATAACTGGAAAGTATTTAAGGACTGCAACTACTTCCAGCCTATAAAAATACAGGATATTCTAGAGAGTATTAAGGCCCTGATAGTGATCAATAAATGCTATCAATAAGCATTTCAATAAATATGGCCTCTCATTTATAATTTGATTAAGAGTAATTTCATTACCTGTGCAAGTAATTGCCAGGAAAAAGTGGACTAGCAAAAGACTTGAGAGGTTTACTCGGTTAAACAACAAAAAGCTCTCTGGACGTCTTACAGCACAAGCATAAAAGGCATTTTATTTGTATATGATTTTTGCATAACTTCTTTTGGGAATTTGGATATTATTTGTTAAAATAAATTTATGTGTCCAACAAGGAAGAACTATGAGTATTTCCCTTCAAAACAGGTTAATCAGATTATAAATACTGCAGATGTAGATCAGTGTCATTCAGTCACACCAGCCTCACAACCGTATGTATTATAAAAGGCAAAAGAAAGACATTCCATCACCATATTCAGAAGTCGCGCCATGACCTATTAATTTGACAGTCTGCTGTAGAAGAAATTACAGCACTATTAATTAAAAGAAGTAACAACTAATTGATAGACTGATATCAGCTGTTGAGAACTTTTAACCGCATAAAATTATTATATAACGTGAGTAGCAAAGGGCACGTGCTAGCAGAGCCAGCTTTGGTAATTATTCAGTCTAATCCACAAAGTTTAAAGGCATATTCTAGCCATGGTTTTCTTTATTTAAGGTCTAGCAGCATTGAAGCAGGGTTCTCCAAGTAAGATTTCCACAAGTTAGAAAACCGGGCCATTGTAGCTCCATCAATGATGCGGTGATCAGCTGACCAACTCACATTCATTATCTGTGCTTTAAATACTTCACCTTTTCCATTAAACCGAGGAAGAACCTAAAAATCAGTGGAAGGAAAAAAACAGAAATATTAAATACTTTCATTAACAAATCTGTATTTTTTGGTTGTTAATTTGTTAATCTAAATTTAAACATTTTGCTAAATTAGACAGACAGCAGTAGTACCATTAAAAAAAAAGACCTTCCCATTATTGTTTGTGCTGCAGATTAGAATATATTGCAAACCTACATAATAAACAGTCATATCCTGTTTCCAGCATCATGGAAATACTGAAGTAGTAAAAACCTTTCTTGACTCAAAAGTTTCTTCCTGAATAGTTTATTGCATTGTTATGCTCAAAGGTGACAGTTTCCTTAAAGCATTCCCTAAACAAAAGGCTCATAGGAAGAATTTAAAAAGAGTGTTTTAAATTAATACTAATTTCATTTCCAGCATTGATGTCAAATGTCTATATTAAAGAATTAAAGCCTGAAATTCAGAAAATATGAAAGTGCCTTCACCACACAGAGTTCTGTATGGATTCAGTTATCTGGCTTGTGAAATTAAACTTCACTATCAGAATACTTACTTAGTCTCAAGTTTTCTCCTTGATGATAGCAGAATGGCTATCGCCATGTTGCAAAACTTGTAAAAAATTCATTTACCTTGTTTCTTGATAACTAGAAGGCTAAACATAGATGTGAGTGAAATATAACAGGATTCTAGAAAGGAAATGTGAACCTTTGGCATAAGAGACTTCTATTTAAGCTTTTGGTGTCTCTGCACAGTCATCTAAAAACATCACAAAACTTTTCAATCGCAAGCTATGCAGTTTCTGTAACATAAAGAGGAAATGTTTATATAAGAAAAACAAAACTAAGGGACACTCCACGTTTCATTTTCATTACAGGTGACCTCGGTTAGCTAGAGCTAAACACTCACATCACTGAGATAAAGTTAATATACCTGTATCTTTCCAAGTGCTCCAATAGCTACTTCAGGAGGTAGTATCACTGGTTTGGCATAAGTGCCACCAATCTAGAAAAGAAAAAGCTGGGGATATTAGCTAACGATTTTTTTTTTTTTAAAAAAAGCAGATTGCCTCTTGCATTAATTGCTACAGGTTTTGTTCACTGCATATTAAACTTCACTAAGGTATTCATTTCAGAAGCAGTTTTCAGATGTAAGTTCTCATTTCTGTATCAGAAATAGTGTGGCCAGCAGGAGCAGGGAAGCGATCGTGCCCCTGTACTCGGCCCTGGTGAGGCCGCACCTCGAATACTGTGTTCAGTTTTGGGCCCCTCACTACAAGAAGGACGTCGAGGGGCTGGAGCGTGTCCAGAGAAGGGCAACGAGGCTGGTGAGGGGTCTGGAGAACAAGTCCTGTGAGGAGCGGCTGAGGGAACTGGGGTTGTTTAGCCTGGAGAAAAGGAGGCTGAGGGGAGACCTCATCGCTCTCTACAACTACCTGAAAGAAGGTTGTAGCGAGGTGGGTGTTGGTCTCTTCTCCCAAGTAACAAGCGACAGGACAAGAG